ACCGCTCTTCCTTGTACCAGGTCCCCCCCCGGTAGACCCCCTCCCCCCTCAGGGTCCTGCCCCTTCAGGTGTGTCCCAGGTAGACGCAGTCGAGCTTGTCGAGGTTACTGGTGACTCTGGTGCTGCTGAGGGTGCTGAGCCAGGGGGTGCTGAGCGTGTGGGTGCTACGCCTGGGGGTGCTGAGCCTGAGGGTGCTACTACTGGGGGTCTTGAGCCTGGGGGTGCTGAGCCTGGGGGTGCTACTACTGGGGGTGCTGAGCCTGGGGGTGCTGAGCCTGGGGGTGCTACGCCTGGGGGTGCTGAGCCTGGGGGTGCCACGCCTGGAGGTGCTGAGCTTGGGGGTGCGGAGCCTGAGGGAGCTGGGCCTGCTCGTGTGGCGTCTGGCGGTGCTGAGCCTGGAGGTTCTCCGGGTGCTTCGTCTCGGCGGGAGCCACTCTCTCCACAGGAGCTGCGCGAGTGGTTTGCCCGGCGCTGGAGGCGTGCTGCTGGAGCTGGAGGTTCGTCGGCTGCTGAGGGTGCTGGTGCCGCGGGTCCCGGAGGTGCTCGTACTGGGAGTACTGGAGCTGCTGGGCCTGCGGGTACGACTGGAGCTGGAGCTGCTGAGGGTGTTGGCGCTGAGGCTACTGCTGTCGGTCCTGGAGGCGGTCCTGCTGGGGGTGCTACTGGTGCTGCTGGAGGTACTGGAGCTGGAGGTGCTGCTGGCGCTGGTGCTGCCGCTGGGGGTGCTGGTGCTGTCCCTGCTGTGTCTGGAGTCGCCGCGCGGCCTAGGCCGTACTTCGTTCCGCTCCTTCAGCAGGTTCTTGGTCTCCCGCCTTCTACTGGTCCTCCTCCTCCCTTAGAGTGTCCATAGCCTGTCCCGTCACAGTTACAGTTACAGCCGGCCTCCCCACTGCCCGCTCCTTCTCCCTACACTGGTCCTACTGGAGGTCTTGCTGAGCGTCGTGAGCCTGCGTCTCGCCCTGCGTCGCCTGTCCGTGCTGCTCGCACTAGTGGTCGTGGTTCGCGTCAACGTCCTCCTCCTGTCCCTGGCACGCACCGGATGTCTCTGCGTCCGTCCACTGCTCCTCTGCGTGCCCCTTTGCCTTCTCCTCCTGAGTCCTCTCTTCCTGCTCTTCCTGACCCGGAGTCGGACTCTCTTCGTGCTGCCAGTCCTACTGTCACGTGTCTCCTTGCTACTGTTGTCACTGACCCTTCCTTTGAGTCCACTGCTGCGTCTGCCCTAGTTACTGAGCTCGTCGACTTTGCTGCTCGGTGTCGTCTAGACTACGCTGCTAGTCTTGTTGCTGAGTCTGAGTCTGTCTGTCCTCCGTCCGTCGGGGGTGAGTGTGCCCTTGGCACGGACGTCCTTGAGGACAGGCAGGAGGAGTTCCAGTGTTTGGCTGCTGCTTCACCTCATCTCGTGTCCGTACTGCTTACCCCTGAGGGAGACCCGGATGCACTTGACATCCCGACTCCGCGCTCTTACGCGGAGGCGATAGAGGGTCCCTACTCCTCTCAGTGGCAGGCAGCTATGGACGCAGAGATGGCTTCCTGGAAGTCCACAGGCACCTACGTTGACGAGGTTCCCCCGCCTGGGGCGAACATCGTCAGTGGCATGTGGATTTTCAGGGTGAAGCGGCCGCCGGGTTCTCCGCCTGTCTTCAAGGCGCGTTACGTGGCTCGTGGCTTCAGTCAGCGGCAGGGAGTTGACTACTTTCAGACCTTCTCTCCCACCCCGAAGATGACCACTCTTCGGGTACTGCTGCACATAGCTGCTCACCGCGACTACGAGCTGCACTCTCTTGACTTCAGCACTGCTTTCTTGCAGGGCAGCCTGCACGAGGAGATCTGGCTACGTCGCCCACCTGGCTTCACTGGGTCCTTTCCTCCTGGCACCCAGTGGAGCCTCCGGCGGCCAGTCTACGGTCTCCGCCAGGCACCACGTGAGTGGCACGACACACTGAGGACTACACTTGTGGCTCTTGGGTTTGCTCCCTCTACTGACGACCCGTCGCTGTTTCTGCGCACCGACACTTCTTTGCCGCCGTTCTACATCCTCGTGTACGTCGACGACTTGGTCTTCGCCACAGCTGACACTGCTGGACTCGCCCACGTGAAGTTCGAGCTGCAGAAGAGACACACGTGCACAGACCTGGGTGAACTGCGTAGCTACCTTGGCTTGCAGATCACCCGGGACAGAGCACGCCGCACCATTACCCTGACTCAGTCACACATGGTGCAGCAGGTCCTTCAGCGCTTCGGCTTCACGTACTCCTCGCCTCAGGCCACTCCTCTGCCTACTCACCACTCGCTCTCAGCTCTGCCTTCGGATGAGTCCGTAGAGTCGAGTGGCCCGTACCCAGAGCTTGTTGGCTGCCTCATGTACCTGATGACCTGCACACGACCTGACCTTGCATACCCTCTTAGCATTCTTGCACGCTATGTTGCTCCTGGGAGACACAGACCGGAGCACATGGCTGCAGCGAAGAGGGTGTTGCGCTACTTGTGCAGTACGTCGGGCATGGGGCTTGTGCTTGGAGGGCAGAGTCCAGTGGTCCTCACTGGGCACGCAGACGCTTCTTGGGCTGACGACCAGGCTACGCAGCGGTCGTCACAGGGTTACACCTTCAGCCTTGGTTCCGGCTCTGTTTCGTGGCGGGCTACCCGCTCGTCTTCTGTTCTCGGCTCCAGTTGTGAGGCTGAGATCTACGCCGGGGCCATGGCTGCACAGGAGCTTCGCTGGCTCACCTACCTGCTGACTGACCTCGGAGAGCCGCCTCGTTCTCCTCCAGTACTGTACGTAGACAACAAGGCCATGCTGGCCTTGTGTCGAGAGCAGAGACTGGAGCACAGAACGAAGCACATTGCTCTCCGCTACTTCCTTGCTCGTGAGCTACAGCAGCGTGGTCAGCTGCGGCTTGCGTACGTGGCCTCTGAGGCCAACACTGCTGATATCTTCACCAAGGCACTTGCGCCTTGTGATCATCAGCGCTTCTGTACTCAGCTGGGTCTTGTGCCTACCTTGCCTCACTTGCTCACCCCTTGACCTTGTTTGTACTGTTGCATATATATATACACCTGCTCTTGCTTGTCTAGCCTTAGATATATATGTAATCCTGCATGTGAACTGGCCTTGTGGCCTTGAACTTGTGCTCGGAATGTGTGGTGACTTTGTGATCCACCCTGAGCTTGTTTTTGCTTTGCTTGACTGGTCTTGTGACCCCTTGTTCTCCCCCACTTTGCCTATGGGGGTGTGTCAGATTTATATGACATAGCTACTGTAGGCTATAGTGGGGTAGCACATATGGGGTACAGTTTTCCTAGGGTTTGCATTTGTACCCAACTTTCCCTTAGTCATCTCATTCCTCGTTTCTTCTCATTCTGAGCAGTGTGTCTTTTTTGGTAACACTGATGGATCAGTGTAGCTTGAAGTTTTGAAAACTTTACTCAGAGGCATCAGTGTAGGTATATTTTTTACCCTGATTGTACTGTAGGTGCTAGCAGCAACCAAGCTCGAGGCCCAAATTGCGCAAGATTACTACACCTGGTCCGCGGTATTTTAACCGCCGGTATCGTAACCAAGTTTGTCGGCACGCTGGGCGTTTCTTGTTGGGTGGCCAGAAATCGCTGTTCACACTTGACCGAACCAAGTTGTAGATTGCCAAGCCTTTTTTTGATATTTCAGCTGGCGCCGTCCACGTGGCAAGCGAATTTCCCCATCCGAATTTTCCAAAAAGAATCGTCACCGTCGATGGTTTTACTTTCCTGACTCTGGAACATTCCAGATGGCGAAAAGAGCCGAATTGCTCCTTTTGAGTAGTGCTGTCAAAACTTTCCATGCTGTTCAGATATTTGGTGGTGAAAATAATGACCGAAATTTTGCACCCTTATCTTCACCACGGCCAGATAATCCAAAATCCTGCTACCCATTTTCGCGCGGTTAAAATACCGCGGACCAGGTGTAATCCTGCGCAAGGTGGGCACTGGTGGGTGGGGGTTGTTGTGAAAGTCGAGCGCAGTGGCTTGTCTGGTTTCGCTGCAACACTTGTTCTTTTCGCCGAGTCAGCAAGCTTCCCGGGGGGAACATGTGTTTGGGGACCTCGATCGAGTCCCAAATTCCGGAGTCGAGGGAGTTGAAGTTTTGCAGTGAGTGCAGCTTCGACCAATCAGGTTGCAGTTTTTGTTTCGGTCGTCAGTACTCACGTGCTGCCGTCGTAGTGCATCATTACGAAATTGGGTGTACCGATATGAAATTTCGGAGAACCTTCATCTCGATAGGTAGAGTTTCCGAAGGGGGGGGGGGGGGGGGGGGGGGGGGGGTGGTTCTCTGTACGCTCTTCAGGGTAATTTTCGCTAAGGGAAATTTCACCCCAGAGCATCAGTGTGGCCTAAATCATTACACTGACATATCAGTGTAACACTAATCCCCCAAAAAATTACCCCAGCCCATCAGTGTAGACTGAAAATTTCACCCTTCTCATCAGTACAGAAGGGTAAATTACACTTCAAACCTGAGCCCTGCAGGCCACCCTCCATTACTGTAATAAAACCCGTCACCACCATTTCCTCCCAGGCGATCACCGGCTTGTGTACGAACCCTACACAGCTTACACATCCCACCCATTCTTAATCCCTTCCCTTTCCTCTCTACTTCTAACCGCAATAAAAGTTCTCGCCGGATTATTAACCTGGTGCACATGACAAGCCCATGAATGCTCCCACCTGGATGCAGTATGCCACAGCTCCACCTCCTCCACCTCCACATGCCTCACCAAGTCCTGGCGAACACAGTGCACTGTCAAGCGGGAATCACCCTTTGCCGGCTTGTCGTAGCCCCCCATGGCCACACAGCCCATGCTGACATATCCCTCTGGAGGGATTGGCCTCCATATACTGACCGGATCTTGTGTCTTGGTCACTCGATTCCTCCACACCTGAGACATTGGAATGAGTGCAGAACTCAACAACAGAGGTGGGGACGCGGGAGACGGGAGGGGAACCAGTAGGACACTCGCAGGATATTATCTCAAGCCACTCACGAGAAAGTAGTCCTTTGGCGTGGCAAATGTTTTGGCGGAACCAGCAGCCAGTGAAGCTGGAGTGATGGAGTGCACCCGCACAGCTGGAGGGGGAGTCAGCCCTCGCCATGCCACATCCCCCAGGGAGACGTACCTGCATATGGCACACATAACCATGACAGCGGCTTATGGATGTATCACACACTGAATGCTAGATATCTGAAAAAAGAAAGCACTGGCATCTGGCCTACCCTTCTGGAGGCACTGGCTTCCAAATCGCAAAATGCCCAGCTTCAGCAGCATCCTGGCACGGAAACGAGAGAGACAGACCCATTAAATGTCAGTGGGAACAAAACTGCTAATCAAAACCGTCAAAAGCTGGCACTGCCAGTCACAGAAGTAGAAGCAACATACTCTCTGGCAAGAAGAGAGGCAGAAAGTTGGTCCATCCTCAACCACCCATGCACGAATGAATGTATCGGTCTCGACATGCGATGGGAGTGACTGAGAAGTCGTGGACGACAATGCTAGTGGACGGGTCATGATGAGCGGGTTGGATTCGCTAGAGGACAGTGCCCGCCGGCCAATTGCCAGTGCCGCCTCTGAGGTCCGGACACTGTGCTGGCGACCGAACCTCCTGGACTGTGTTGGTTGGATGGGCCGGGCTGATGAAGTGGTGAGAGAGAGAGAAGACCGGCTGCTGGCAGTGGACAGGAACGAGTGGTGAGGAATGTCATTTGGGACCTGCAGAATAAGCACAGAGAGAAGTTAATTTCACGCAAGTGCAGATATATATGGAAAACTCATGTTGAAGAAGAAATCACCTGTGCTGCTTCGAAATTGACTTGTTTGGGACCATAGGTATCAAATGCTGAAGCAACTTCCGCCAGCACGTGCTCAGCAGGATATGACTCTGGACAGCGGATGATGGTGTAGAGGCGTTGAGGTGTAGGCTCTCGCATGTGCACACAGACCACTGGCCGGGGGAAACTAGGAATGCACTTGATCTCCAACGCAAGCAGGTTGTCCCAAGGTACATCCCACCTCACCAGGGATGGACCTTGCACCAGTGCCAGTGAGTCGGGTTGGCCGGCTGGATCCACAGGGCACTGAAGTGATGAAAGATACAGGGCAGACAGAAGGAATTGGGGAGGATGGGCATCATATAAAAGTTTCTGCTCGAAGTAGCAAAGTGAAGCATGCGTTATATAGGAAACCAGGTTAAAGCAAATCAAGAATTTCAGGGGAGAAACCACCAACAACATGTCGAAATGTGACCAACAGTGCAATTCTAATCACCTTGAGCATCATGACCCTGCAACTGGTGATCAGTAGGATGCGGCAGTTGGGCAGAAGAATATGATTCACGTAGGCATCTGATAGGGCGAACTTGGAGTGGTCCCTGAATATGTCATGCTTGCCAAAGTATGAGCCCGCTTCAGCCAGGAACAACACCATCTGAAATAAAAGTGTTACGAGGGCATGCGAGGATAGCAACAGACATAAGAGGGCGCACCAGTAACAGCAGAACTGAGCAGGCTGGGTATGCAAACGAACAGGGTAGGGAGTTGGAAGTCATGCCAAGATGAGAAAACGAGGGCAATCGGAAGGAGACAAGAGAACCTGGCCAACTGCGCTGTCCTTGCTGTACTCCTGAACAACCCCATCAGCAGAGATCGCCCTTGGCAGACGCAGCCGCTGCAGCTGAGGCTTGCGCTGCACCATGCGAGCGCAAGAAGCAGTAGACGCATCCACGCCAGCGACAAAGAACGCCAGAGAGTGCAGACAGCCCGTCACTGGATGCACCACAAGCCCTGCCAAGCCGTTGCTGAGCCCAAGGAGCAGGCCTGGTGGACCATGGGTCTCATAGCCGGAGCGAGAACGAACGAGGACATCAGCCACCCCTAAAGCCACTCCTTTGGCCATCGCCTCAGCTCCATAAAGAAGGCCCTCTCCAACGTTATCGAGCTGGTTGCCAAGAGCCTGCATACACCTCAATGGGGAGCACCGACGAGGAGATAATGTTGATAGAGCAACATGTAAGGTTCTCCCTCTACAAGCACTCGCACTGGACATATTCCTGTTGGGCGCTTATGCTATCCATCGGATTCAGAATGACTGCACCACCATTACCTGCTGGAAGTGCCTGTTGCTCGTGTCCTCTTTATGTACAAGCCTCGAAGCTCCATGTCCGAGAGCAGTGAGTGTGGAGCTGATGACCCCCAGCACATCCACACCGGACAGCAGGCGCAGTGACTGGTGCAAGAGATCCCGCAGCACATGCCGGACCACTGCCTCCATGAAGATGCTCCTGCGCAGTCGTCTTGACTCGGCTGTTGCCCCTGACAGCCGGACCTGAGGTACATACAGAATGGCATATACGTAACGAAAAAAGAAACTCAATCAGTCACCCAGAAATCCGTATATGCAAGAAGCGTTGCAGTGCAAGGCTGTGAGTTTAGCATTGCCTGTGCATGTGCGTACATTGAGGATTTACTCACTGGCATGCGCTTGGTGTTCCCTGCTGCAGTGACAAGACTACTCCACGAGCCAAGGAGCTGTGCAGGCCGGGATGTAGGGGCAGCTTCAAGCGTGAGCTTGAGGTGAGCACCCGAGACGACTAGGTGGCTGGAAAGTCGCAATAACAACACACAAGGAGAGTCTCACAACATCAAGGTGAGATGGTTAGAACCTTGATATGAGCAATACATTGCAGTGTCAAGTGGACAGCTACTGCATTCTTGGAGTTTCCAAACCAGTGTGGGATCATCATAACAAGCGCACAGTGACTCACTCTATGCGAATCATTGGGTCGACCTGGACAGCAGCCACTGCCCCTCCGTCAGCACCAGCAGACTCCGGTGCAAAGAAGTTCTCCCAGCAAATGCTCTCCATAAGCTCCCACAGCCGCCACACAATGGCCTCATGTACATTCACTTGCCACGGCTCCTGTGCCAACTGCGGACATGCAGACGAATGCAGGCAAGCAACCCTCAGTCCCTGCGTGCACCACTTCGTCCTTCGAAAATTGGCTCCGCAGCGAATTCCTTGATGTTTCACCATCCCACTTGCGCTCTGTCCATACCTTCTTCAGGCTGTGATAGGAACCGCTAGCCATGGCAGCAACGTAGGAACCATGAGACAGCGAGAGGACCAATGGCGGGCAGCCAGATGTGTCTACCCAGCAGGGAACTGAGAAGGTGACCTCCTTCAGCGTGCCAAAGGTGGCAGACCAAGTCCGATCGATGGACACTTGAAGGTGCCTGACATGACATAACAGGAGGAAGGTTTCAGGGGAATAAACAAAAAACATTTGTGGAAGAGCAGGAGCAAAAATGGCTGACAAGAAATCCAGCAAAAAAAATGTACCTGTGAGTATCCTTATGCACCAGAGAGACCTCAGACGGAAGAGGCTGTTGTGGATGAAATAAAGTCACACGCTCCTGTTTAAACACGCACTCAAACAAACAACAAGAAAGGTAAATGCTACACCCACAGCTGCTGTGTACTCACATGAAGCAAATGCTTGTAACAACATCTCACCTCCAATTCATCTCGTGGAACCCATGAATCACGAATCTTCAGACACACAAGAAGACAGCCCTTTGGATGCACAGATGAGATGCCCTTTTTGGCTCCCGGTTCCAACACCAGACCATCTTCCTTCAGCAGAGCCTCAGTGGATGGAGGATCAGAGCTCCAGATGGACAGGGTGATTGGCTCTGGCAACAAGTTGCAGAACGTTATGGGCGCTTCTGCAACAATCTCCCAGTCCACAGTTGGAGTGAAGCTTGCCTGCTTGCTTAAAGGGGTGCCAATCGACTCCACCTGCATCCAGCGGGTTTCTCGGTACTCACTGCCTGTTGATAATCGCTGACAGGACAGCAACTCTTCAGTCTTCCCAAGGGTCAGCAAAGGGAAGTCTGAAAAGGGAGGTAGCGCCTGCTTTGAAATGGAGGTGTCCTTGAGGACCTTTGATGCATGCTTGTCAACAGATCCCCACGAGAATGGGATGGCAGTGGTGTCAGAATCGTCAGACGGTGCAACATACGGCCGGATTTGGATGCACGGGTCAGTCTGTTCTGTTGATGCAGGAGGGACAGGAAGAGGAAGAGCGCTGCCTGGTTCAACCAAGCCACAAAGAACTCGACCAGGTGCTTTTGCGAGTGGTGACTGCTGCCGAAATCGCACCCACCGCTCCTTCGGACAGCATCGGGGAATCCTTTCACCCGATGTGCAGTGCCTCTGGGTGGCCAAGACGCCTCCAAAAAGCTTGGGAAGTACGCCCACCCATCCTTGTCCACGTGCTCAGAAACTTCAATGTGCCAGCCGGAACTCCAGATCCAGCCAACAGGCAGCTCAGGCTCCTTGAAACACTACAGGACAAAGGAAGAAATGGCTTGGTAAGAAGACATCAAACAATCAGTTGGAGTAAGTTGCACGGTGTTTAACAGCAGCTTGGGGTTACCTTCGAGGACGACTTTAATTTGGGGTCACTCCAACCCTTGGGGTCGATTGGGAGAAGGTTAGAGGAGCTCCAATTTAGAAAGGGCAAATGCCTTTCGTTCTCAAAGATCTCAACAACTTCTACTCCACCACCTCCCTCGTCCTGAGAAGCACCTTGCCTTGCTCGTTCTGATACAGCAGCATGCACAGTGGTGCTGCTGTGCTCATCAATGGAAGACTGTGATAATAGTGAGCGTGGGCACAGACAGACCTCCAGTTTGGCCTCTGTCTTGTTCACTACAGTCACCAATGACCTGACATTCAGATGCTTCTCCCCTTCAACCATGGACACTTGAACAGCCAGCACCGTGCCACCCAGTTGTTTGGAAACAACACCACCACCGTAGACAGAGTTAATGGGAGCCCATGGCCCATCCTTCGTCAGTGACATCTGAAAGGGCTGCCCCTGCTCCTGGATCGGCAAGTCCGGGACTTCATCCAGAGGTTCCAATCTTCCATGAGCTCCAATCTTGCCTAAGTGGTGGAATACACTGAGGTGAGCAGTGCCATGGTCGCCAGACACCTGCAGATAGAATCATTTGTCAGATGCTGACATTGCACAGAGAACGACTTGCTGACCTGTGATGATGGTGATATGATGCACACTTACAGGCTCAAGATTGGAGGAGAGCCAAGAGTGGCCTGTGGTGGAATTTTTGTGTGACGAATACTCGATTTCCGCCATATTCACGCCAGGCTTCGCAGCCCAAGTGAAACTGAAAAGAACCAATCCTGCAGCAATGAAGAAAAACGAAAAATCAGCTTAGCTTATACAAAAGCAAAAACAGGAAAGTGACGCTCATGATGGGCATACCTGTGAAAGCGCTTCGCTCCACTGCAACACACACCGTCTCTCCTTCCTGCGAGTAAAGTAGCAATCTTCATAGGTAAGATGCTCAAAATCAGAAAGGAGAAACCTATGTTGCAGCCACAGCATTACCTCCAGCGTGCTCTCGAAGAGAAAAACCTCGTCCCAAGAAACCAGCCACGAGTTCCCAGCACTTGCAGGAACCTTCATGCTTGTACGTGCATGCTGAGTGCACTGAAACCCATTGACATCAATGGCTGAGGTCAACGAGACAGAACAGACGAGCTCCTCTGCATTAGAGATCAGCTCCTTAGGAATCTGCAGCAGTTTCAGTAGAAGAAAAGAATATGTTTAAAAGTACAGAAGCTGGTAGCTTTACTTTCAATAACAGACACGAGTATCGACCCACCTGGAGTTCGCCGATACCAAATGCAAGAATGCAACCTCTTTGGACGCTGCGGTTTTGCTCTGGTGACGGATGTAAAGAACTGGTCTCTGGTGGCACCACAATGCAAGCCTGGCTGCCAGACGGCAAGCAGAACACTCTAGCCTCCGACTTTTTGTCCACCACTTGGAAGAATAGATCAATGCCGGATGAATTGTGCTGCACAATGTAAGCAGGCCGCTCCGTTGCATGTATGTACTCTTCTGTGTCCCCTTCCTCATCCTTGTCATGCTCGATCTGCAGTGAACAAAGGACATAAGAAGAGAGGAAAGTATGGTAAGGCAATTTTCCTCACATCAACTAGCAAGACATGCGTCATAAACCTCGACTCTCACCATGTGGATGACCCTTTCTGCATCCTCCTTGGCTTCTAGGAGCTTCAGCCAGTCTGCGTACGCCTCTCCAAAGTGATTCACGTTCATTGACGATAGATTGATGTTCACTTTGCTGTTGGAGACCACTCGACAAGTTGACAGTGGTGGCTCAAGGCCATCCTTCCCAGCCAACTCAGCCCTGCACCACATCGGTGCGCGCAATAGAAACCAGAATGACGTGTTCTCAGAAACGAAAATGAGGAGAACATTTAAGGCCTTTAAACCACCGGCAAAAGCATACCTGACCATCCCATGCCAAGGCTCCAAAAAGGGCTCCCATGCATCTTGCTGATTGTTGAAGGCATCCACACAGCAGCCAGCGGACACCTGATGGACATCACTGGTGCCATAGTGGAGTGACTTCACGACCAGTTTGTCAAGGCTTATCTTGACGAGTGGTGTCATCTGGCAAGCAAGACATGACCACACATTCATTGTAAAACTCCTTCTGGCAAGTAAAGTTGAATGAAAAGGAACGAATGACCAGCATTTCACGCTCACCAGGCTCCCAAAGTCATCGTAGAGGGTGACAGAGAAAACTGGTAGTGAGACGTCAACATACACTCGTGAGACTGGCCGCTGCTCATCCAGCACAAAAATGCCCATGCCAAGGCGCCGAGGTGGCCCCTTTCGACCCTTTGTAGTGACCAAGAAAGACCCAACCTGCAAATACAACACATATCCCAAATATGAGGCTCGACCTGATTGGGACTGCAATCAACCTACTTTACACAAAATACAGCACACAAGCAGCTGAGAAGAAGTGGATGCGGAGCCAAGAGTGATAAGCACTTGTATACCTGATTCTCGACAGGCCAAAGCTTACACAGGGGCTTTCCCTTGCGTGAGACCAGTTCAAAAACTGGAGCAGCAGCAATTTTGACAGGCACACATGCATCATTCCGCACGCAACGGAAACTGTCTTCGGAAGGAGCTGTTTTCCCCACAGTCACAACCACTCCCAAAGAGCTGTAACCGGGTGGTGGAACTGCTGACCAAAAAGCAACGCTGTCTTGTGTGCCTTGAGCCGGAATGTACTTCAACAGCTTCCAGCTTGATGGTTTCACAAGGAGACTGTCATCAACACCCTCAATGATGACAGTAGAATCTGGTGGAGAGCACCTGAAAGCCCAGAAGGAGATGTATTGAAACATTAGGGTGCTTGGAAGTTTGCCTACACTTGTAGAGGGATCAAACATAGATTTCGCTGAGCAATAATAGAAGCAGTAAAGAAAACCAGCTCACGCAGAGAAGAATCGGAAAACAACGATTTCTGAGAAGCTTCATACCCGGAGTGGATGACATCGCCAAGAAATGCAAAACCTTCGGGACATAGGGGCCTCCACACAGAAATTGCAGTGCTAGAAGTCTCCCTACGTGACTCCTAGGCTAGCTTGAAGAAATGCACTTGTTGAAATCCTTCTTGCTGCCGTGATGAGATTGCCACAGAGGGAACTTCAAACGACAGTGAATCCTCCACTTGCTGAACTGTAGCCCCAGTTGCAACAGCATCAAGATCAATTGGTGATGATGAAAGATTGCTGGGTGTGTTTGCAGGAAGCTGATAGCGCAAGTCGAATGCAAAGGCACAAGCGGCCTCCTGTTCCTGACGGGCAGAGAATGTGCTCAATGCATTCTCGATCCTCCAGAGCTTTAACGATTGCAATCCGTCATCCCTGCGAACAGGAGAATGAATGGGTGAACGTTTAGGAGCTGTGTATGAAGCATCGAGTGCGTGCCACGACTGATGCAGAAGTACGTACACTTGCACCGTTATGCAGCCACGAAGTGCTGCAGGGGACATATGATGCTTCTATGCAGTACACAGCAGATGCTGAGGGATGTTGTGGTCCTGGATGGGCAACACAACCTACAGCCACAAATCCAGGGGGAGGAAATGGCTCCCACACAGAGCACTCTGGACTTGATGAGACATCAGATCCCTCCTCAGATGACCATATCTTCGCAAATGACACTGGTTTTTTCACATAGCCGCCTGCGAGGCTGACAGCTAACACCCCTCTGGTTGGGGGAGCATCACTGCCATGCCAAGGGAAGAAAGCACACTGGTCAAAGGCAAGCGCTGCCACTTGATTCAAATACTATAGAAAACATACAGACTGTTAGGTCAAAATGCTGGCATCACTTACTCTGTTGTCAAGCAGTCACCAAGCACAACAAACCCTGGTGGTGCAATTGGTCTCCAAAACGAAATCCTCTGCATGTCAGACCTTCCTGCAAAAACAAAGAACTATCTGTGAACCTTGGTGCCCATTCACTGAGCCACTGTGAACCAACGAAAAGGCTTTTCCACTAACCTGCATAGGCCCACACCTTCTTGAACTGCAAGCACAAATACCGAGGCTTTTCAGCAACACTGTACATGGAGCTCATGTACTTCTCCTGCATCCTCAGGATGAGCTCCAGCGTGTTGAACGTGAAGTGCGTATGCAGATCGGAAACTGAAAACTGGATGTCCGTGTAGCCTGTTGAGGATGTGAACCTCATTCTAGAATCAACAGGCTCTATCAAGCACAACCCTGAGCCTGTGCTGATCCCGGATGACCTGACTGCGACGTTCACCTCCGACATGCCCCGCACAGTTTGAATGCTGCATCAGGACATAAAAGATAAGTTTACAATACTCAAACCACGAACATGGAATCTGGTAAAAAACAGAAAAGGCTTGCGGAGGACGTCGTACCTGAGATACAGAGAAGCCTTGAGCCTCAAAAGATTCTCTGGAGAAGATAATTGTATTGCTGCCCATCGTGCCTGATCTATGGCAATTAACTCCAACCCAATTGCCTGTGTATGCAAATGGACCACAGATTGTACACCAAATATATGTCGATTTGAGACAGGTGCAACAGGTCTTTGGCGAGAATGTGGAAACACAGGAAAAACTTCTCACTTGGAGATTGAACTTCCAATGCCCAGAAGATGGTTCAGGCACATGCTGGGGAGATCTGGGCTTGTCAAGCTGCTGAGACGGTCGATCTTTTGGGCGCATCGGCAGCAATTTGACACCATCAGCTTCATCCACTGAGTAACTACTTCTGACTCCCAGTTTGACCACAGAGGCAAGCCATTCAGCTCCCTGCATGCAGGGTCATGATTCAATAACAGCTGCTTACTCACACACATACAGACAGAAAGAAATAACACATTGTATGCTGAGTAACTTACATAGATGTGGACGTTCGTAAATCGGAGGTGTTTTCCTGGGCCGACAATGATCAGAGCTTCAGCAGCAGTAGCTTCAGTCAGCCCAGCAGACAGCAGTTCGATGGAACCCCCATTCCCATCAAAAGTAAAAACTGACACACCAGGCGCATCAGCAACAAGAGGCTTCTGAGAGGAAATCTCTAAAACACCAGGTGCTTGCTGAAGCGTGTATGGTGTGCAAAGGTGAAAAGCATCTTCCCATTGAGGAACAGCAGCAGATACAGCTTCAACATCCTCAGAGCGAGCGAAGAAACTTGAAAGGTGGGAAATGAATGGCGGAGCCAGCAACAGTCGGGGGCGCTGAATCCTGAGTGACATGCACTGAACATCACCTGTGAAATGATATTCCAAAATCAGCATTGGCAGTGACGGATGAATATGCTCAGCCCCACTTGATTCACGAGGAAGCAAAGAGAGATGAGTTGGCCATTCTGCAGAAAATGCACTTTCAGATCCCACTGTTGACATCACTCCTTCCATGTCATCAACAATCCCCAAAACCCAGCGCTCCTCTGCTGCGACTCCAGGGGTCAGATCTTTGATAAAAACCTGAAAAATAGACAGAAACAGCTGCGAGATGCCTCCGCTGTGCAGGAAGTGGCGAAGAGATAGATTGGAAACCTGCCGAAACATTGTTCATGGAAATTAGTCCAGCTCACAAGTTAACTCATGACGAGGAATAACCTCTTAAGCTGAAGGCAAGGCATTACCTGAAGTTTGGCGAATGTGGCTTCACGTGAAGATCCTTCATACAAGAGGAGTGCAAGAGACTGGATATGGACAGATGATTTCACATCCACATGCTTCACTGGTGTCATGGAGGCCACTGGAGTGGAATCACGTGCTGCCGTGGAAACCGAGATCGACCGTGGCATTTCCGAAAAATTTCCAGAAACACAGTCAAGAACAGTTGCGTACTCTGCACTGCACATTCCTCCTTGGAGATGCCCAACCTGCAGGCACAAAATTTTGATAAAAATCCTCCCACATATTCGGGACCAAAAACGAGGCCAGAAATGGGACACAGCCATTAGTCACCTTCACTGAAATATGGCAGCCAGGCAAGAGGCCAGTGGGATCACCCAAAGGTCTCTCAATAAACACCTGAAGGCCCACAAGCCTCTCTATCATATTGTCAGTGACATGACCCTTGGTCATCGCATGCAGGCGAATGTCATCAATCTGTTATAAGGATGAAGTACAACGGCACAAAGAATCAAATATCAATTAAAGAAGGTCCAAGGACACAATGGCATAAAAAACCAAACCTTACCTCCACTTTCATGACGTCCAGGCTAACATCGTGAATTGACTTGCCATCACCAAGCAGCTTCAAGACTTCAATCGAATTTGAAATCTCCAGCCTTCCCACATCGAACTCAAGGTAGCTGCTCACATCAAACACAAGAACATAAGACACGGAAAATAGAGCGAACACTCGGAATCAAGATAGCACGGATATACATACTTTTCGCTTGCAGAAGATTCTGGGAGCAGCAGCAGTAACTCGCCAAACAAGACAGCGAGCTTGATTGGTGTTATTGTTGCATCGACAGCATGTGCAGACGGGTCTTTGACGGATTCAGGAAAATGAAGAACCAGTTCTGTGTCTTCTTCAGGTGGTGGTGAGAGCCCGGAAAGGTATGATGTAACCTGGAAAATAGTTTTTTCATAGCCATGAGAACCGATGGTCGTAAATGAACGAGAAATAACAGGAGCAGAAACACTAAACAGATGGAGAAGGTAGACCACTCGAAGGTAGAACGACAAAAGGTTTGTAGAAATTGTCACTCACTTCTTGACCACTCGAATTTCAGAGGTCTGCACACTGAGAGAGTATTCAGAACCACCTCCGTTTGTACTAATGCTGGAGCTTGTCAGCATAATCTGCACTAAGACAGGGACACGGACGGAGGTCATAAGGCTGTAGCAACCAGGAGATGAATAAACGGCTCACAAAAGAAATGGTTACCTTTGCGAACGATTGGCCTTCAGTGCTTCTTGGGGAAAACATCAGGCCATATTGGTGGCCTTCACCCAAGCTGAGGTCGCAGATTCGCAGCTGACCAAGCTCAGCATCAAGCAGAAACGAGCTTGCACAGACCTGCAAGTCATGTCTGATTCGTGAGAAGCTAGTCTATGGCAGCTTGAACTTGAGCAGAAAGACTTGACCAAACTTCACCTGTAACTGGAACATAAGCTTCTGCTTTGTGAGAACTGCAAGGGGAAGGCCATTATCTCCATTCAAAGTAATCCGCAAGTCCCCCACACAAAGAGTTAACCTGAAAAGTGTCGTCTCTTTCTCCTCTGCTATCTCTGCCTTCACTGGTAGGGAGCTAGGATCTGCTGCACTTCCAGGTTGTGACTTTGCTGGCTCGGGTGCAAAAGTGGGCACAGCGGCCATGTCTAAGGACACTCCAATCAGCGCCAGGACAGTGGGTCGGTTGCAATAAAAGCTCAAGCCACTCAGGTCCAATATTAGCTGCAGAAAAATACGAGCACGATTATTAGGGACTTATCCAAAGTAGAGCCGACAACATGGGGGGGATTGAAACAAATACCTCAGCATTCACGCCGGAAAACTCTGGAGAATCTGGAACGCGCATGATGTACTGGACTTGGACAAAAGCACTTGTTCTCTTCCAAGGTCGGTCCAACAAGGCAGGCCTGCTTTCAAGAGAAGGAACTTCGTCGGTTGTCAGCGGCTTATCTCCACCATCCACTGGAAAGTCCACAGCATCGTAATAGTCTGACATGCTCCAAAGGCTCGACCGGTGACCACTCGTTTCTTGCGATGGATGCGTCGGAAATGACAATTCATTGGCATCATGAAACACCTCACTCGTCTCTTCCTTATTTAGAGACCAGTCCTTTGGCATGCTCGGGGTTCTCAACATCTCGCTGGATCGAGCAAGAAACCGGCATGCCGGCCCAGCATCGCACGAGACAAGATCTTTGACTTCAAGTGATGAAAGAGCCGCTCCAAGAATAAGGTCAGAGTTTTCAAGGAGTGTGGTTTCGACCTGCATACAGCAACTTATGAATCGTTACTATGTTGTCAGTTATAGAAGCACTGTGAAAAGGGGAAACGAACCAACATCACTCACCACAGCATTCGAGGCCTCAAGAACCACAAGGGGAGTCTCAGTCACTGAGTGCACATCCGGAAGGTGACGATTCTGAACAGCAGAGAAAAGAAACGAGGATGATAGTGAGAAAAATGTATCACCCGAAAATTCAGTGCACTACCTTACCTTCCCATGCAATGTCATCCGCAAAGTACCCATTTCTCCAACAAAGAACACCGCCACAGAATCAGCTGGTCGGACATGAGGCTGGTGTTGGGACCCCAGCGACGAGACTTCACTCAACTGAGACAATGCTGCATCCTGAACATGAAATGAAAAGGCTCAGGAAATACGCACAGATTTTGCATAAGCGGCGTATGGACAACATCTGGTTTTGAACACCTACAGAGGCTCGGTGAATGGCAGAAAGCAAGATGGACTTCCAAGCTTCATAAGCCACCGCAGAATCCGGCTTGAAAAGCATGGCGGTTGAGGTTCTCACAGCCTGCATACACCAAACCAAAATTTCAACAAAAATATTGCAATGGAAAGCACGAGAGCACAAAAGCTCCACGTACCTTCTCCTCAGTGCAGCCAGGAGGGCAAATCACAAGGGCATTCTCCAGCCCACTGGTGCCATTTTGTGTAAGACAGAGAAGAATCTTGTTTCGAAGGCTGCATCGAAGCAAGTCAGACTTAGTCATGGTTGCGGCAAGAAGAAGAGAAAAATACTGAAAACAATGCACGCTCCCACCTGATCCGCTGCTTGTAGGAACGACTATTTTCCAGGGGTAGTATGTACAGAAAGGGCCCAGCCACAGCCCCCACCCTCTTTTGCCAAGCAGATTCAGTACTAGATATGCCCTACAACAAGCCACACTTACACATCAGTCAGCATAATAACCTTGACAGTGTCAATGCGATTTCCACTCACAATGCACACCTGTCTTATGAGAACGTGAATGCAGCCTTTGTAGTCAGCAGACTCCCAAGGCACAACAGATGCAGTTTGGGAGTCACATCCCCGCAAAGCCTCAGCTGATCTCAAAAGGCAATGGAGTATCTCAGGAGAAAAGTGAACCTCCAGAGATGGAGCCCTTGCACTGATCCTCAAAATTGGAGAATCAGGCTGAGGTACCCAGATCTGCATGAAACGAAAACGACAAATTAAATTGTCTTCGAATACAATGAATCAAATTGTGAGCGGCAAAAACGCATCCCCACCTGTTCAATTGATGACACGAAAGTGCAGTCTTCCAACACAGGAATCGATTTCAGAGTATGTGATTCTGTGGCTGCAGGTTGGTACCCAAGTCTAGCAGAAGCGCTGACAATCTGGAAACAGGCTGAAACGTTTTCCAATTTGGCATGGAACTTCATGTACACGTCCGAGGTCGTGGTTGATGTGGATGCATGGTTTGGCTGCAATACAAAAAACGAAAATCATCGACAGGATAGAGTAGTAGCAATAACTCAAAACCATATATGCCTTGACCCACCTGCGCCCTTGAATTAAGGAAAAGATGGCCAAGATTTAACACCAATTTGGTGCTTTGGAAGCCTTCGGACAGAGATGGGACTGTGATTTCAGGAGCAAACACATCAAGGACAACCTCAAATCTGCAAGCCACAAAAAAAACGAGAGAGATGAAGGCCGTTTCGACAAATTTTGGCAAGAATTAAGCAAGAAATCGAAATGGCAGCATATACCGGGAATCAGAGCGCATGAAGTTCGTCAGCTGTGCCTGAGCCTGGCGTTTGATTTCTTCAACAGTTTGCTGGGAAAGAATCAAACAAACAAACAGATAAACAGCAAACGTCAGAGGCCACAAAAGATCACCAACCAGAAATGAAGCATACAGGGGAATACTAATACCTCAAAAGCGTCAGCAGTGTCCAATGCAAGAGCAGGACTCAAGGCGTCGCTACTCTGAAAGAATTCAATGATGCGGTCCAAGCTTGACTTGATGAACTGCAAACAGTAGTACATGTGGACTGTTTAACCATTGCCATTTTCTATTTACATTGGCGAGATAAGAATAAATGCTGCATACCAGAACATGAGCCTGCTGAACTGAGCCATGTAATAACCAGTCCAAGTTCTGTCCCTTGGGATGCATCACACATAGAAAATCCAGGGTGTTCTCTGGGCCTTGCCCACTCCAAAAAAGTGCTCCCTCTGGTGACTCCACACAGTATGGTCCAACTTGAACATGGATATCTGTGGTTTCCAAATGCATACTGGATGCAACTTGAATCCTCTTGCAGTTGAGGCTCAAAAGCGAAACGCCATGGGAATCCTTGATAACTGATCTGCTTTCTTTCACATGAACAGACCACCGTGTATGCACAATCTCAGAAACTGTGGTCTCGCTGTTTGTAGCCTCGGGTAATAGCGCTTGCAACTGAGTCCAGTCTTCAGCATCAAGCTGGGTCGGGAGGGCAGTGTTTCTGAACAACAACACATGATAAAAGGATCAGACATGGACATGAGCAAAACGAGAAAAAAACAACAAATACCATGCTCACCTAGGAGCTCTCCCCTTCTGTTTTTTCATTTCTTGTGAAACGAGCTCATGAGCGACAAGCCTGCAAAAGGAGAAACATCATGGTGATTTGTGTGTCCTTCAAAAAGTATATACACATATACATGTATCTATAGACATAAATTACCTCCACTGCAGCAAAACCTCTGGTTCAACATCCGTCTCCAAGGACAAAAGCTCCTGATTCCTTTCAAAGGGCTTTTGGACAGCTCTTCAAAGAAGGTGCTTGGCATACAAGGGGATGTATGCATTCCTTATTCTGGTGCGGCGAATGAGCTCATTCCAGTCCGTGAAGGATCTGCAATTGTTGAAATGTTGAATGCGTTAGTTCTGGAACAGACTAATCCGTCATACACTTAACTAACAAGGGTGAACGAAGAGAACACAGGCTATGGCACCACCTACCGCCCCTTCTTTATTTTCTTCATAGTTGCCTTTATTGCAAATGTCCACCATGCTGAAGGACATTCGTGAATGCTGCACGAAGGTCGGATATCAGCCAACTCTTGCCGCCGTTGGGCAGCTGCAAACTTGTCAACAAGCTTCATAATCAGCCGATACTGATCCTGCAGTCATCAGAATCGAACTGTGAGATGCTGCTTATTGCAAAAAACAAATCCGTATTTTTTGCTAACGAATGACCACAGGGATACCTCCGAAAGCGCAAATGAAACACTGTCAAGCGTCACTGTGAGATCTTGTTGAGGGGTGCCCAAGAACGCAGTCTGGTTCTTTCCTGCACGACTGTATGATGCTGCTCCATTCAAAGGCTCGACCAAATATTCAGAAGTTGAAAACTGCCAGCGATCGCTTGATGCAGTCTGTACCACCAAGACACTATAGGTTCAGTATCCAGAAAAAACAAAGAGGCAGACAATCTGATCGACACACGCCATACCGTCATGTCATTCAATGATGGCTGGCAATACACTGATAGACCATGTAGCTCCAGAGCCTGAAAATCACAAATTTGTCATGTCAGCCTTCTCCCATATGCAAGAAAGTGCCATGCTAGGTCAACTATCAATCGCATACCTTTCTATTGCAATCAAGCTCTCCACCGGACACGTAAGTCTCCTTTCCATCCTTGTCAACGGAAAAGGCAGCAAGCCTGTCAAGTTGGATTCCCACAGCTGCGGGTCCATGGATTTCACTGAAAGACAAACCAAGAAAAAACAGTAGCAGTTGCACATGATGAAAGGATCACGCTAGCGTTAACCACCTCAATGAGTCTTCGTATCGAACGTGTATGTTGGAGATGCTTAGCTTGAGGTTCCCGATCACACCATCCACAATGGTGCTCAACCAGGTTCTGGTATCTCCCTGCAGGTTAGCAATAGTAGCTACTATGATGGATAGGTCAGCTTTGATAGCACAATCTCCTCTAAAAAAAGCTGGATAGGTCAGCTTTGATAGCACTTACGGTGTCTTTTCCGACGCTGGCATCGCGTCGAGACAGGATCAGCTCCTCTGCATCCTGAGGAAATAGAACGTTTAAGACGAGGGGATCATGAAAAGAAAGTAGCAGGATGATACGCAGATGCTTACTTGAACGCGCTTGCGCTTGGCGTTCAGAGCTGATGCCGGATCAAGAAAGACAGACTCGTTGGGTCCAAGTAAGAGCTCAAGTCCGTCCAGATGAATGACGATTGATGACCTTCCGAGGCTCTTCCATGGTATCTGAGATCATATGACAAGACATGATGTTACAATTCAAGTACCCGTGGCATCTGATGCTATTCCTGCTTGAAACGGGTCGCTGGAATTCTCGACTAACCTGAACGCGCAAGGCCTTTACGATTCCTGACTTTATTACAACTGGTAACTGCAGGCGTCTAAGCGCTTCAGGTCGCAAGCTAATATTCTTGAGCTCAATGTCACCTGAAAACCCAGGAAACGCTAATAAGATAACTAAATCTCTGCATCTTCTGCGGTAAAACTGAATCCACACTTATCCCACCTTTCCACACACTAACTTTCAGCGCTTCCTTCGACAGTCCAGAGAAGTATTCCCCGAGATACTTCTGCAGTATCGATGTCAGTTTATCTTCCAACATGGCTAGTGAGTAAATTGACCAAGCGCGAACATGCAGCTCCAGGGAACAAGAGAACAGATTACTATCATAGAAGACGGGTAAGCGAGTTTGCAGAACAAGTAATTATCCCCTAAGGCTGGTCTGACAGAGATACGTTTGGGTGTGGCGGTGACAGAATTTGTCTACTAGGCTTTCCCAAATATTTGCTTCTCCGAGGGTGTTGGAATCTAGCGACAACACAATGTTTTCTAAACGATTTAGCACGGTTCTAGAGAATGTGACAATCCAAGACAATCTGACATACCTCCTCCCTTTCCCCTGCTCAACCAACGAAAGCTTCAATCTCTGTCCGCCCTAGAAAATAGGTGGTTCTAGTGAAACGACGTCATGGATGGTGAGACGGAACGAAAGATCGCAGCACTCATTCTAGCTGAGGCCCAGCGGCTCAAGGCAAGAGCTGCTGAGGAGGGCGTTAGGGCGTATCTGAAGCCGCATGTTCGGTATCGTCCTAATTCGCAGTTCCTCCGAGCAACCGTGCAGAGTGTTGAGTATGGTGAGCCTTTTTAAATGGCAAACGTCACATCTTTCACTAATCTCAGCGTCAAAGCGCCGTTTTTCGACATCACTTGGGCGGAGTGGCACCTTTTCGTGCCATCTGCACATACGTTACGCACTTTCCACCACCTGCTGCTCACTCTCCCCGCTATATTTCACGTTCGCAGTCGAATTCCGCTATTCGAATAGTATCATTAACCATGCATTCGTTAACATACAGCTTTTTCTTTCTGAATTATCGTCTTCGTGAACTTTGATGTTAACAGCTTACCGCACGGTCGACGTAAATAGTGTTTATGGAGCGAGAACCATTGTTCCCTTCGACTAGTAAAACTCTCGAATCCCTGTCTTCTTGAACCCTGATTCAACAGCCAACCGCGTGGCGGACGTGAACGAGATGTGGAAGGAGCGAGAGGTGGAGCTGGCAGAAAGCCGGAGAGAGACACGCGGGGATTCAGCTGAGCGGCCGATGACGTCCAGGGATGCAAGGGGAGGAGGCAGCGTTGGGGAAGCGCGGAGAACGCAAAGAAGTGGCGATGGCTGGAGGAGGGAGCGAAGAGAGGGAAGCAGGGACGATGGTCATTGGGATGAAAAGAGGAGGATAAGAGACGACGAAGAGAAAGGCTGGCGAAGAGGGGAAGAGGAGGGAAGAGCTTGGCGAAGAGGGAAAGAGGAGGAAGAGGGGCCTTGGCGGGGAGGAGGAAAGCACGAAATGGGAGGAGAGGACAGGAATAGAGGAGAGGACGGCAAGAGAGGAGACCATGAGAGGAGAGGAGGGCACGAAAGGAGAGGAGAGCATGAGAAGAGAGCCACACAAAGAAGGAAAAACTTGAGAACCAGCAGTGGTAGTTGTAGGCAAGAGAGGCAGATCTTGCCTTTGCGACGAGGACAGAGAGGGAGCAGTAGAGAGCATAGCAGCGATGATGAACTCGAGGCACAGAGAGATCGAGGGTGGGATGCTGTGTATGGGGAAAAGCGCAGCAGCAGTCCATATGGAAGTGATTCTGCACGGGAGAAAGGACGGTTTGGGAACGAAGGGAGGGGTAGAAGTGGAGGAAGAGGGAATACGACCTTGTGGGAGGACGAAGTAGGTGATGTCAGGAGCGACAAGCGTGAAGGAAGGAAAGGATGGGTTGGAAGTGATCATGGGGCAAAGTGGGAAGGGAGGAGGGATGTGGACGGTGAGATGGGCTGCGATGAAGATTGTTTGCGTAGAGACAGGCCAGAGTTTCTGGGAGAGGATGATTATGAGGAAGGTATGAGAGATGAGGGACGGGGAGGAAGGAGGTCTGTTCGAGTAGGATCGGATGGAAAAGGCAGGTTGAGGTTTAAGGAGAACGGTCATGAGCGGGGCACATTCCCTGATGATGGCCCAGACCATCAATATGGTGATGATTATTTGGAGAGGCGAGGGCGTGAGCCTGTGGAGGATTATAGGAGAAGATACGGGGGAAGACATGAAACGGAAGAGAGGCGCGTTGGACAGGAGAAGGAACAAAGGTTGGATGGAACATGCGAATATGACGCTGGTATAGGAGATGGCCCGGTGCAGGGAAATGGGCACAGGGAGATGCAAAGGCGAAACGAGCACAAGAAAAGGCCGGGGCAGGATGATGGAGAGGGAGTGGGTATGGGCAGCTGGAGTGATGCAGATGCGGAGCAGAAGGGCATTGATGACTCTGACCTTCTTACCTTCCTCAAGACTAAGTGCGCTCTTGCCTCCACCTTATGACTGCCATTTTTCTTCCCCCGTTCCTCAATTCATCCTGATGACGCATGCATTCCATGTTAGGATCCTATCCTATCATGGTGCAGTAAGGACGATGAAAATCATACCAGATTTCCACTCTCAACCATGTCCCCCTTTCTGCCATTTCATAATCCCCCCTTCTTGCATCTGCTTCTTCCTTATTCTTTCTTTGCCCTCCCACCATGCTCAGGGTCAAGAGAGGTAGAGGGGCCATTGGTTCTCGTGCCGATGCATGGGGATCGGAGCTGCCTTCTCTATCTGCAGGCATGGGGGGGGGGGCAGAGGAAGGGAGTGGAGCAGTGAGCATGCTGCTGGCGCGAGTGAGGGAGGAGTGGGAGGACAGTGTGGTTGCTGGAAAGGGTAGAGGGCTATCAGCCTCTTGGGCAGCTTCAGGCGCCGCTGATCTTGGTGCTGCTGGTGTTGCTGGTAACGGTCAAGCTGCAGGTCGAGTTGGTGGTGCCTCTGCAGGCGGGGCAGATGGCCGTTGGATTCGAGGTGTTGCGTTGGATGAGTGGCCTCGTTATGCTGCTTCTGGTGGTGCTGCTGGCAGCAGTGGTAGTGGCGGCAGTAGCAGCAGCAGTAGCGGTGATAGTCGGAGTGACAGTGGTGACACTGGTTCGTTGAGTAGTGAGAGTAGCTCGAGTTCTAGTGAAAGGAGGGGGAAGAGGCGGAAGCAGGGCTGACTATTCAAAAAAATCCAGTCTGATGTTCTGGGGGCTCTGAAAATTTTTAGTCTGAGGCATATTTCCCAGAGAATGGCCACTCTGATTTTTCAGGTTCCGCAAAAACACAAGTCTGAAGTACTCAGAACACACTACAACCACTGCAGTACAGTACTGCCACAAATGTAGCACGTGGGGCGCAACGCTAACCAGTTTCCCTCGCTGACACCGCGTAGCTGCAGTGATGGTCCCGCGTGAGTGGAAGAGTGAGCCAAGTTGGCAGATTTCTAAGGGAAAAGGGTGGCAAAAGTTGCCAAGGACAGATTCTGCGCGTGACAGCGCCATGAAGTGTGTTCGTACACTGGCAACATATGACGTAGCGGAATGTACGTAGAAATCACAGATCCGCATTTCAGGATCCGTACTCCCTGTAGTATGAAGACCCATTATCGGCTAAGTCAGTACTCTGAAAATCTCAGGATCCAAAACCAAGTAAGTCTGAGGCACTCATGTTTGAAAATCTTACAAGTCTGAAAAAACAGGATCCGTAGGAAAATACCCTGAGATTTCAGACAATCAGACTATTTTAGTCTGATAAAGTCAGCCCTGGGCGGAAGGATCGAAAAAAGAGGAATCGGAGCAGCAGCAGGCACAGGGAGAAGAGGGAAAAGCACAAGAAACGACGAAAGGTGGAGCACTCAGAGCGCAAGAAGCGACGCCGGCATAAGAAAGAAAAGATAAGGAAGCACAAGAAAGACTCGGGGCAGTGATGTGAAGCTATTTCCATGTCTTTGTACATATTAACGCAGTTCAGGGTTAAAGTTTGCCATCCAGCTTTACCATCTCTGTCTTGTTCCCATGAATAATGTGCTGTCGATCAATTGCTATGTGAAAGCTATATGTTTGCTTGTGAAGTAGTGAGCATATGCACACTGAGGTCAATTTGTAGTCGCCTTTGTTGTACCGAATCGATGGTCCGCATACTTTCTACGGAGTATGGAATGGAGAACACCTTACTTCAAGGTTTATGCAGTGTATCTTTACCCCTCTTTCACCTTTCCCTCTGCCATTTTCGATTGGCAGCCGTACCTCTTTATCTCAGTCGCAAATTACGCCAATAACGCCTCAATAAGACTACCCGTATTGTGCACTAATCCAGTTCTCTTGTTACCACGCGACTCCTTGAATCAGATCCTTTGATTCTATCTCTGCGAAAAGCCAGCAGCCATGCCGAACGTCGACTGTAGAATGTACGAGGCGAAGTTCCCAGAGGTAGAGCAGGTGGTGATGGTTCAAGTTAAGAACATCGCCGATATGGGCGCGTACGTGTCGCTTCTTGAGTACAACAATATCGAGGGTATGATTCTCTTATCGGAGCTGTCCCGTCGTCGCATTCGCTCTATATCGAGTCTGATCAAGGTCGGCCGGCAAGAGCCTGTCATGGTGGTCCGCGTGGACAAGCAGAAGGGTTATATCGATCTATCGAAGCGGCGTGTATCGGAGGAGGAGGTGGCGGCGTGCGAGGAGAAGTACAACAAGTCCAAGATGGTACACAGCATCATGCGCCACGTGGCAGAGACGTCCGGCGTCGATGTCGAGGTGCGAACGATCGCACGCTCCAGAGGTCCGTTGACCAATCCTACTGTTGTCTCTCGTTCTTATCTCGTCAGACGATCCTGGCAGTAATTGCTCACATCGTCCTCCTTGTTAAACCCTTTTCCCTCTATCCACCGATGTCATATTAAAACCGGAGTCTCAAGTATCCCGAAGTTGCCTCATCCTTCCTACCTTTGTTGGGTCACAAAGTCCAACCAAGCTTCCTACCTTTGGTTTTGTCACTAAGTCCAACCAACCTTCCTACCTTTGAAACCTGTGGACCCTGGGTTTTAAAAGAGTTCCGCTGTTTCTTTCGACTTCTTGGTTCCCCTTCGACCACCCTTCCCCCTCTCCCGTCTCCCTCTCCTCCCTCCTATTCCTCTCCCTCCCCCCTCCCCCACCCTCCCTTTCCCCGCGCCTCCGCCCTTCCCGAATTTCGTCGTCGCCGTGCAGGAGCTATACACGAACGTGACGTGGCCGCTGTACCGCAAATACGGACACGCGTTCGAGGTGAGAGCGGAACTACCCCTGCTGCTGGGGGTTTCCAAGAATTGACCTTCCCGTATTGACCTGTGTGCAAACAGTCGAAATGAACCGGCTAAGAGTTTCAGGCGGAGAATAGTCTTGTTTCAGAGATCTTTTGCGTGAATTGGAGCAGTTATATTGAATGCATTTGAGGAGGTGGGTGGAGTGCATGAGATTTGAGGATCTGGGCCATACCGCTTAATGAGCCCTTCGACCTGAATCTCACTCAAGAGTCCCTTGAATGGAGCCCTTACCAGTTCCTTATGCCCATGGATGCTGATATGGTTCTGCATGATTCATCGCGCTGGGTGCATGATTGTGTATGATGACGCATGACCCATGACCCTTAAAGCATGTCTGAATACCCATGACCCTGTGACCCATGACCCTGTGACCCATGACGCATGACCCTCAACCCATGATGACCCATGACCCACCCATAATCCACCACCCATGGCATGGCAGGCGTTCAAGCTGGTGGTGACGGATCCAGAGGCGGTGTTAGGAGGACTCACCAAGGAGATCACCGAGACAGACGAGGACGGCAAGGAGGTAAGTTCAGTTATTGCTTGGGATGCAACAAGGGGGGTAGTCTAGTTAGTCCTCAGCTCAGCGTACAGTTGGGAAGGCTGGAAGTAGGGTGAGGTTTTCCGGTGCTGAAAGGGAGCCATTCTTGGTTGGTGTATGTGAGGAGTTGGGTGACACTAAACATTTCTAATTTGCATACCGCCATTCCCCTTCCTGTCAGTGTCACGGCCCTGTCTTCCTTCCCTTCGCCCTCGCAACCTCGCACCTCTCCTCTCACTCTCCCACCCCAGTTACCCTCCCACTTTCTCACCCTCCCACCCTTGCACCCTCCCGCACTCTCACCCTCCCACCGTTCCACCCATTGTCTGCACGCGGCAGGTGAAGAGGGAGGTGCCAGCAATGCCAGAGGACGTGAAGGCGAACCTGTTGGTGTCACCTCCCTGTCCTCCTTACCCTTCCTCCCGCATCCTTTTACCCGACCACCTTCCACCTCCCACCCTTCTACTCTCTGTGTGTGCGTGCGGCAGGTGAAGAGGGAGGTGCCAGCAATGGTGGAGGACGTGAAGGCGAACCTGATTGCCAACATCCGGCGCAGAATGACCCCGCAGCCCCTCAAGATCCGAGCTGACATCGAGCTCAAGTGCTTCCACTACGATGGAGTGCTGCACATCAAGGTGCGCCGCGCCGCGCCGCACTGCAGACTTGCTGTAGGCATTGTTTTTGTCTTTCTTTCTTTTGGAAGACCGCCTCTGAGGGGGACATCGAGCTCAAGTGCTTCCACTACGACGGCGTGCTGCACATCAAGGTGCGCCCCTCTGCAGACTTGTTGTAGGCGCTTTCTTCCTGTATTCTTTATTGTCGCAGATTTCATCTCCAGTCAACGCCTTTGACCTGAGTCCTGACATTGAGCTGAAGTGCTGTGCTTCCACTACGACGGCGTGCCGCACATCAAGGTACGCCACTGACGGGTTAAAAGTCACCGCGATTCAAGAGTCGCCCTCCATTTTCCTGCCCTCGCCCTTTTCCCTGTCCTCACTCTCTATGCTTCGTTCACCCCTTTCGCCACCCTATCCTCTTCCCATGCTTCACCCCTGTCCTCTCTCCAAGATGCTGTGTTCTGAGTGGAGCAGTAGGGCGAGGAGGAGGATTGAGTTGAGTGTGTCTGGACTGAACACACACATCTGTCCCCCCAACCACGCCTCCCCACCCGCCCTTGCCCCTTCCCTTGCGCTTCCCCTGCCCTCTCCCAACTGAGCACTCGTTATTTTCCCCTCCTCGCCCTCACCGTTGCCCGTTCCCCTGCCCTCACCATGCCCTCTCTCCAGGACGCCATGCGCCGGGCGGAGCAGGAGGGCGAGGAGGACTGTGTTGAGTGTGTCTGGAAAGAACTCATCTTGTTTCCTCCACCCCCACCTCCACCCCCACCGTTGCCCGTTCCCCTGCCCTCACCATGCCCTCTCTCCAGGACGCCATGCGCCGGGCAGAGCAGGAGGGCGAGGAGGACTGTGCAGTGCGCATTGTGCTCGTGGCGCCGCCCCTCTACGTCCTCACCACCTTCACTCTTGCCAAGGTGCGCCTGCTAGCTAGTGCGCACTCTGCTCTCATGTGTGTTAGCCACTCTTGTTCTTTTGCACTTTACAGCGGTGTTCACTTGACTTTTCATGCATTCGTGATTGTCCACATCTTGGCGATTCATTCTTTGAGTCGACTGTTCCATTTCGTCTCCGCTCCCCTCCACTCCCCCCTTCACTATCTCCTTTGCTCTCCTGAAACGTCCGGTGCCATCAGGACAAGGGCATAGCAGTGTTGTAGCGGGCCATCAGAGCAGCAAGCGGCTTTAAACTCGTCTCATCCGTTTGTCCTTCCTCGCTCTCTTCACCCTCCCCCCTCCCCCCCAAAACATCTGATGCCATCAGGACAAGGGCATAGCAGTGTTGGAGCGGGCCATCAGAGCAGCGAGTGAGGAGATCGACAAGCACAAGGGCAAGCTCACAGTCAAAGAGGCGCCGCGAGCGGTGAGTGCATGGTTGTGTTGTCATGTGCTGTGCTAGATGATCCTGCATCTATTGCCCTCACTGCCAAAGCGCTTTCGGAATCTCTGCTCTTACTGCACACAGTTGAGTGAACGTGATGATTGGTTGCTGGCAGAGCACATGCAGAAGCTGTGCTCATATTGATTGGTTCCTAACCTTTCCCCGCCAACCCCTCAGTTTCTCGCTCTCTGCTCCTGTGTATTCCCCTCGCCTCCATCCCCTCGATCCTACAGGTGAGTGACCGTGATGACCGGTTGCTGGCAGAGCACATACAGAAGCTCACAGATGCCAACGTGGAGGTGGATGGTGACGTGGACAGCGAGGATGAGGACGAGGGCATGGGCTCCGTTGACATTGACAACGCCGGTCTCACCGAATAGATTACCTGGAAAAAGGGTGATTGGAGTTTTTAAGGGGTTTTTAGGATCATTTTGCGTTTGGCTGGACTGCGGAAAGTTGTTAGGTAGGTTACATGTTACATGTTTAGGGCAGACCCTGTGTGATATGAAGTCGCTGGGGTTGCATTGCGTTGCAACCATATCAACTGGCTGATATTTACTACCATTATGTGTCCTGAAGTTGTACGATGGAGGAGGGGTCCGGTTTAAAACCGGGGTGCACATTCAGCTGAATGTGCATCAAAGGTTATCCCTTGACTGAGTGGGTTACGAGGTGTGCTTTCAACCCCTTCAAGTCGAAATTCGTTTCCCCCCTCCCCCGCAATTTCGTTTCCCCACGCCCCCGCAATTTCATTTCCCCCTCCCCGTCGAAATTCGTTTCCCCCCTCCCCCGCAATTTTGTTTCCCCCCTCCCCCGCAATTTCGTTTCCCCCCCCTCCCGCCAATCTGTTTCATCCCTCCCGCCATTCGGTTTCACCCACTCCCGCCATTTCACCCCCTCCCGCCACCTACGAAATGCCCGAAGCTCTAGCGGAATCATTTTTTTGTCGCCCCTCGTGAGCCAATCACTGTTTTTCTCCAAACCCCCTTCCCAACATCTCAAGCCGAACCGCGTTGAATGTGCACCCTGGTTTTAAGAGGTATGCATTCCACGTTTGTGCGCGTTTGGAGCTGAGACCGGGCAAGAAAATCTCACCAATGTTGATAGTCATTTAGTCCATTCCAGACAATACGGATGCTGTTACGAGTGCAATTGAACGAGCGAGTGAGAATTGCACTATCGAAGCAATCAATACAGTTGAGCGAAAAGCATGAGCGAAGTTATATAGCGAAGCTAGCATGGTAACGGTAATGCGGGAAATTGGGGTGCGCTACGGGCCTAGCGCCGAGGTTGGGAATTGTCGAGGCGGAGGTCCGGAGCGCGGGTTACTAACCGAACCGTGAGGTTGGGTCGCATCGTGAACAGTGGCGGGAGTCGTGGTCGAGGCGAATGTCGCGAGCGGGTAACGTTCACGGATGGGTGCCGATGGCGGGAACGGGCATGTACACGGTAAACAAGGACGCGAAGTAAGGAAAAGGAATTTTCCTTACACTACCCCCCTCCCTCCCCAAGGAGGCCCCTCTTACGAGAGCGCGTGTACATCTCGAAAGTTTCGGCTGCGCAGATACTCAGTGAGGACAGGGTGCTTTTCAACTCTATCCAGGGGAACCCAGTTGTCTTCGGTGGGCGTGCGGTCTTTCCAGCGGATCAGGAATTCGATCCTGCGGGCTCCCCGTGGGTCACGTATTCGGTGGCTCAGTATTTTTCCGGGCGTGATGATTGGCTCTGTCGGTGGTCTCTTAGAATCTAGGCATCAATGAAGTTGACTGTCGAGAGAAAATGGTACAAGGAGAAAACCCTAAGGGGTTATACCCCACAGTGTCTACCCCACTACAGCCTACCCACAAATATAACATATGCATATCTTTGACACACCCCCATAGGCAAAGTGGGGGAGAGCAAGAGGTCACAAGACCAGTCAAGAAAAGCAAAGCAAGCTCAGGGTGGATCACAACGTCACCACACACACTTAGCACAAGCAACATGCCACAAGGCCAGTTCACATGCAGAGGTATATATGCAACAAGAACAGTACAGTGATCTCTACCTAGCAAGAGCAAGCATGCAGGTATATATATATAGATCAGAGTACAAGCAGAGTCTACAGCAAGTGTGGAAACGTAGGCACAAGGCCCAACAAAGTACAAAAGCGCTGATGATCACCAGACGGAAGTGCCTTGGTGAATATATCAGCAGTGTTGGCCCGAGTGGCCACGTGAGCAAGACGAAGCTGACCCCGCTGCTGCAACTCTCGAGCCAGGAAGTAACGCAGAGCGATGTGCTTCGTTCTGTGCTCCAGTCTGTGCTCCTGACACAAGGCAATGGCTGCCTTGTTGTCGACGTACAGAACTGGAGGAGAACGAGGCCTCTCTCCCAAGTCGGTCAGCAGGTAGGTGAGCCAGCGTAACTCCTGTGCAGCCATGACTGTGGCGTAGATCTCAGCCTCACAACTGGAGCTGAGAACAGAAGACGAGCGCGTAGACCGCCAAGAAACAGAGCCAGAGCCAAGACTGAAGGTGTAACCCTGTGACGACCGCTGCGTAGCCTGGTCGTCAACCCAAGAAGCGTCCGAGTGACCAGTGAGGACAACGTCGCCCCGTCCTCCAAGCACGAGCCCCATGCCCGATGTACTGCACAAGTAGCGTAGTACCCTCTTAGCAGCATCCATGTGCACCTTTCGGTGCCGACCAGGAGCCACGTAGCGAGCCAGAAGGCCAAGAGGGTACGCAAGGTCAGGACGAGTGCAGGTCATCAGGTACATGAGGCAGCCAACTAGCTCTGGGTAAGGATCACTCGGCTCTACGGACTCGTCCGAAGGTGGAGCTGAGAGCGAGTGGCGAGTAGGTAGAGGAGTGGCCTGTGCCGAGGACCAGGTGAAGCCGAAGCGCTGAAGGACCTACTGCACCATGTGTGACTGAGTCAGAGTGGTGGTGCGGCGTGCTCTGTCCCGGGTGATCTGCAAGCCAAGGTAACTGCGCAGCTCACCCAGGTCTGTGCACGTGTGTCTCTTCTGCAGCTCCGACTTCACCAGGGCGAGAGCCTCCGTGTCAGCAGTGGCAAAGACCAAGTCGTCGACATACACGAGGATGTAGAACGGCAGCAGCGAAGTGTCGGTGCGCAGAAACAGCGACGGGTCAGCAGTCGAAGGAGCAAACCCAAGAGCCGCAAGTGTCGTCCTCAGTGTGTCGTGCCACTCACGTGGCGCCTGGCGGAGACCGTAGACCGGCCGCCGGAGGCTCCATTGGGTACCAGGAGGGAACGACCGAGTGAAGCCAGGTGGGCGGCGCAGCCAGATCTCCTCGTGCAGGCTGCCCTGTAAGAAAGCTGTGCTGAAGTGAAGGGAGTGAAGCTCGTAGTCACGCTGAGCGGCAACGTGCAGCAACACCCGAAGAGTGGTCATCTTTGGGGTGGGGGAGAAAGTCTGGAAGAAGTCAACTCCCTCCCGCTGACTGAAGCCTCGAGCAACGTAACGAGCCTTGAAGACAGGCGGAGAACCTGGCGGCCGCTTCACCCTGAAAATCCACATGCCGTCGACGATGTTCGCCCCAGGAGGGGGAACCTCGTCAACGTAGGTGCCTGTGGACTTCCAGGATGCCATCTCTGCGTCCATGGCTGTCTGCCACTGAGAGGAGTACTCACCGGCGATCGCCTCAGCGTAAGAGCGCGGGGTCGGGATGTCTGGTGCATCCGGGTCTCCCTCAGGGGCAAGCAGCATGGCCACGAGATGAGGTGCAACGGCCGCAAGACACTCAAGGTCCTCCTGTCTGTCCTCAAGGACGTCCGTGCCAAGAGCACACTCACCCCCGACGGACGGAGGACAGACAGACTCAGACTCAGCAACAAGACTAGCAGCGTAGTCTAGACGACAGGCAGCAGCAAAGTCAACCAGCTCAGCGACAAAGGCAGACGCAGCAGCAGACTCAAACGACGGGTCAGTGACAACAGTGGCTAGCAGACGCGTGACAGTAGGGTGCTCAGCACGAAACCAGTCAGACTCAGGGTCTGGAACAACAGGCAGAGAAGACGCAGGAGGAGACGGCAGAGGAACACGCTGCGGAGGAGAGGAAGGACGACGGACTACGAGGTGGGTGTCGGGGACAGCCGACTGACGCGGACGAGGAACACGACGACCAGAACGGACAGGCGAGACAGGACGCGACGCAGGCGCACGACGCTCAGTAAGACCCCCTGTCTGCTCAGTGTAAGGAGAAGGAGCAGGCAGCGGTGAGCCAGGGTGTAACGGAAGACCAGTAGACGAAGGGAGACTAAGAACCTGGCGAAGCACAGAGTCAGGCGGTGGCTGAGACGACGGAGACGGCGGAGCAAAGAACAGGCGCGGCTGTGCAGCGACACCAGCACCAGCAGCTCCAGTACCCCCAGCAGCTCCAGCACCTCCAGCAGCCCCAGAACCCTCAGCGTCAGCTCCTCCAGGACCAGCTCCACCAACAGCAGCACCCTTAGAACCGGCACCTCCAGTCCTAGGGTCTCCAGCCTCAGTGTCTCCAGCAGCAGCACCCCCAGACCCAGGGTCTCCAGCAGTAGCACCCTCAGGCTCAGCAGCACCTCCAGCCCCAGCAGCTCCAGTACCTCTAGTACGAGCACCTCCGGGACCAGTACCACTCCCAGCTCCAGTGACGGCAGCAGAAGTACCTCCAGCAGTAGAGCCCCGAGCTCCAGAAGCTCGACCCTGACGGCGACCGTACCAGTCGTGCAGCTGCTGTGAGGTGAGAGGCACACGCGGACGAAGGCGGCTACTCCAAGGAGACCGCGCAGCAGCAGACTCAGAACCCTCAGGTGTCTCACCCCCAGACTCAGTACCACCAGGCTCCTCACGCTCGGGCTCAGCACCTCCAGACACAGCACCCCCAGGCTCAGGACCTCCAGGCTCCTCACGCGCAGGCTCCGCACCCCCAGGCTCAGTACCCCCAAGCTCCGCACCCCCAGGCTCAGCACCCCCACGCTCCACACCCCCAGGCCCAGCACCCCCAAAGACAGCACCACCCCCAGCAGGACCCGAGTCACCAGTGACCTCAACAGGCGCAGGCACGGGAGGGTCTACCTGAGAAACACCTGAAGGAGCGGGACCTGGCGCGGGGAGGGGGTCTACCTGGGGAGGACCTGGGGCGAGAAAGAGCGGCGGGGGGGGGGGGCGAGGGGCAGTGCGGTAGGGAAAGAGACGGTAAAAGGGGACGGACTCGTCAAAGGTGACGTCCTGAGACGGAAAGACAGGCGCGTCAGGGACAAAGCCAAGGAAGACGCTGGGAATGGCGCGAGCGGAGAGCTTGTCCGCGGAGGTATCGCGGACAAAGGCACGAGCACCCCAGACCCGGAAACGTGACGCATCGCCAACCTTCCCCGTCCACAGCAGTGTGGGCGAGGT